TATGCAAAAATTTCTTAGATATAGCATCAAAAGCAAAATTTATAAAAGAAAAAATGATAAATTCCACTGCATTAAAATTAAAATTAAAAATTTGCTCTGAAAAAGGTAGTAAGAAAATATTTCAAAATCGCACATCCAACAACAGATTTGTATCCACAATACATAAAGAATTCTCAAAACTCAACAATAAAAAAAACAAATACCCACTCCACCCCCAAAATTTGAAAGGGCAAAAGATTTGAAAAAACACCTTACCAAAGAAGCTATGCACGTAACAAATAAGCACCTAAAAGAAAACTATCAAAACCACTTAGTCATTAGGGAAATACAAATTAAGATAACAATAAATATCCTGACACTGTTATCAGAAGGAGAAGGATGCAGAGCAGCTGCAGCTCTCATACATTGCTGGTGGTAATGCAAAATGAGACAATCCTTCTGAAGAATGGTAGAGCATAGATTCAGTATTGCTAAGACTAGGCATTTAACCTACACTTATTAAAACCTATGTCCATACATACATGTACAGGAATATTTATCACAGCTTTATTCATAATCACCAAAAATTGAAAATAACCTAAATGTCTTTTGATGGGGGAAAAAGATATATGATTATAGGTACATACATACAATGGGATACTACTCAGCAATAAAAAGGAATGAACTCTTGATACATGCAACAACATAGGTGGAATCTCAATGGCATTATACTGAGTGAAATAAGCCAGTCTCAAAAGGTTACATGCTGCATTGATTCCACTTACATGACACTCTGGAAAAGGCAAATATATAGGAATGGAAAACAGGTCAGTGGTAACAGAGGGATAGAGGTAGAGGGGGGAACAGTTTGACAACAAAGAGGCAGCTGGATGTAATTTTTTGGAACAATGGAATTGTTCTATAGTCATTACACAGTCCTACACATGTGTGAAAATTCCTAGAATTGTTCATCAAAAAGTAAACTTACTTGTATGTAAATTGTTCATAATAACTTAATAAAAATTAAAAAATCTATGCCAACAGAAGACAACTTATTGGGTGGGAAGATTGTAAACCTTACAGGTAAGATAGTCTGCTATAAAACTTATTGATTGACTTGTTAGGAATTAGTTTATATAAATAAATAAAAGGTACAACTATCATGTAATAAACATTTTCTTAAATATTTTTGATAGCTCTCTAACTATTGTTGCTAAATTTTTTAAATTTTAAACTTAGAAGTCAAGGTGCACGCTGTCTGATTGCTTACAATTACACTATTTTTATTTCTCATGATATCCTCGTTATAATACTCTGCCTAATTCCTGTGCAGAAGAAGAAAGATCTTTTCATGTACAATACATCATACTTGAAGGCAATCCAAACAAGTTAAAATGTATTAGGTCCATCCACAGGAGATACATTAATCCCTGAAGTGTATACTAATCATTGGAAGCAGTTAAGAATGGTCCAGGGATAAGGAAAACTCTGTCCACACTCTCCACCACACTCTATTCTTTATTAACTCTTCCTCTAGGGAATGCGAGTTGTAATCAGATTGTTCAGAGTCTGGAATTCTTTGGGTGAAACATGGCACTGGAAGACATTTGCATTTCTGAGCATATCCTTTTTCTTCCTGCAATAGGCCAAGATTTGCCCTGACACACTCTTGTGGACTTCTTTACTTTCAGCAACAACATCCAGTGGTCTTCCTCCTTTCTTTCACTTTGACTTTTCCAAGTTGCTAAGAATTCCCCACAAAACTGAGCACAAAGTGAGAAGAAGTCCAGATGCTTTCTCACAGAACTTTTTGTCCCTCCCAAATGGAAGCTTTTGTACAACAACATACTAAGTAGCCTGGGTCAGTTTAGTATTAGGTACAGGAGCCAAAATACTTTTCCATATTGGTTGTGTCATCTACTTTCCTTTGGCTGTGGTGGTATGTTTCTAAATCTCCTCATATTGCTCCAGAAAGAAAGATTCCACCTTCAGTTTGAGGGGAAGGAATGAGAAGTAGATAAGAGACTTGGAAAAAGAAAGCAAGGGGCCTCATTTTGGTCTTTTTACCTCAGCCATGTGCCCCAGCTTAATTTATTTAACCCAGTATTTAGAAATATATTGTACTTATATAGAAATTAATATATTTATACTTTACTCCTCTTTTAACTATTATTGATTTTGTATAATTCCTTCAGAAGAAAGAAGAAATGAGTGATAGGCTCCCAGTAACTGAATCCTTAAATGATTACTATTTATGGCCTTTCACCATTAAGGGTTTTAAAAGCTGGGGTGCACAAAATTAAAATCTTCCTAAATTACAAAGTCTAGGAATGGTATAAGAAGAGGGAAAGTGTAGAATCAAATTGTGTGCCCTGTGCAAAGTGAGAAACCATCAAAGACCCTGCCCAAATAATCCCTATAGATTACAGTCTGTAAACTAACTGAAATGAGACAATGTAAGAATATGTTATAACTTATGATAAGAGTGAATCCTAGCTAGAGTTACGTAAGGCCTCATTTTATCCCTTTCTCATTCTATTGTCCATCTGGACTGAAACTTGCTCCATGAATCTGTCACTTTTTACTTTGGCCTTTAATGTAAGCAAAAAGTCAGCAGACCATTCAAAGTGTGGCCAGTCCACTGAGGGAAGGCCTGAACTAGACCTCAGGATTCTTATTTCCCTTTATCAAATTTCAAAAAGCTAAAGTAGGTTTTGAAAAACACAGTACTCACTGACCCAATTTTATAAACAGCTCATTGTTAGTCTATTGTTTTATTCATCTTGGATCATCAAGCACATTGTACGAATTTTGGAGTGATCATAACACATTCATCTGTCCTTCTTTCCTGAGCATTAAACTGGCTTGGAGAAAGATCTGGGGGGTGCATATTTCCCTTGACTACTACAAAATATCTGGATACCCCAGATTATAGAGATCTAGAAGAACAACAGTTCTAGAAATGAGATTGTAAATCTGAAAAGCTGGAAAAGTTAAAAAATAATGTATTGTTCTGATTTTCTTTCAAATAATATCAGTATATGAATTTAGAAAACATATGATCAGTAGATGAGAAGATAAGTTGACATATTTTTAGCACCCTGATTCTATTGGTCCCAAATGTTTATGATTTTTCAAGAGAAACTCAGTAATGATGAAATGACTCAAAAAGTTTTTCACATACCTTATCCAGGTAAATTTATGCCATGTCTGACAGTTATGAATAACTTCTACTTTCCCTAAAGGAAAAAAATCTAATACAAAACTTAGAAGAAAAATGGAAAAGTAAAGCCCTATCCAAACAGTAGTCTGCTTAAGCCAAATCAGTCAACTCCAGAAATTTCCTGCTGCTCATTGCACGGGCCTTTTAATGCTTTTAGAAAATGCTGAGTTAACATCACCGAACAACATTTACTCTGGACAACACCAGCCCATTCCCCACTTTGGAAATAGAAGGACACTTCCCCTTGGCTACATCTGACCTTGAACCAAAAAAGGAAACACCTCTAGAACTGATGGGGCTTTTTTTTTTTTTCAGGAAGACAGGCTCTAAGAGATAGGGGGAAAGATACAGAATCTGAGGTCAGAAAACTCCAGCTGAGGCTGGCAAAAACTATTTGAACTCAGCCTCCTCCCTGGAGGTAGTAAAATAGGTATAATATTATTTACTTCAGAGGGTAATTTAAAGATAAAATGAGCTAAGGCATAAAAGTACAAGTGTTAAATAGTTTATATATATCAAAGAACTGTTGTTTTCCAGCTTCACTGATGCCATGTTGATTGAGTGTTCCCCACTATGCAGAACAATTTATTCCTTTGAGTTATTTGGGGGACAGAGGTAGGGCTCATTGACTTTTCTCTAAGGCATTCATTCTTCTGAGTCACATGGCTTGTGGTGAGTGTCAAAACTGACAGAAACACATTACTGCTTCCCCAGCTAGCATCATAATTTGTAGAAGAGGGAATGCAACTTCCTCTGTTCAAGTTTCCCTGACTGAATTTTCTGAAGCCCAGACTCAATTCTTCCCTTTTTAAAAATACCTTTCCTCCCCAACCATCTGAGATCCATGGCCACAACAAATGCAAAACAACCTTTCAAATTAAAGCATGACATAGTTAAAGGGTTCTAGGCCCCTCTACTCTTTCCCTTACTCTTTTTCCCCCCACAGCAGTCCTTAATGAAAGCGGGGGCTGGAATTTAAGAGAAGTGGGGGAAAGACTTTGTATCTACCTCTAGAAGGACTTCAGTATGTTAACAATGACCACCCTTTCCCAACTGTTCCCTAACTCCCTCTGACCTCATCTGAAACACACATCCATGTCTTCATACACACACGCACACACTGGTAAGCCAGTCAAATGCAGATAGATCTGACTTCCCCAACTTGTAGCCACAGATAGCACCAAAGAGACCAAAGTCGTTCACTGCCAGTTCCAGAAAGACACTGCAACCGCCAGCTGTGCCGCAGTAGCAGCCTCTGTGCTGCAGCCTTCGGCTAGCCCGCCGGAGTTTCAGGTCTAATTCCTTAAGGAGTATCGCTGTTCCACCCTTCGTCCCACTCTCCTGGGCTTCACCCACTTCTCCCCTTAGGTCAGGAGAAACCGGGTCACTTTGCCACTTTGGTAGAGGGGGAAGTGGCAGTGAAGGAGATTCCCGCTGAAGTAGCCCGAAGCCCACTATTCTTTGCCCCATGTCTCCACCATCCTGCCCATGTAGGCGCCTGTGCGCCTGGCAAAGGTGCCAGTTCTCAGGGTGCCTGAGCCCCGATGGGATGTAGAGGAGCTAAGTGGGAAGAGCAGCGACAGGACGGTGGCTAGAGATTGTTAGAGGACAGATGGGGTAGGACTGGGGAGAGGGATGAAGACTCCGCACAGGGGCAATCATCAGCTCCTCCCTCACAGACTGTAACTCGGAAACGCGCAGATGGGCCATTAGGTAAAGGCCTTCCCTCCCTACTTTCTCCCTTCTCTTCCCCGCTCCCCGCCTGGACACCTGGTGAAAAAGCAAGGTGCAGGTGTACCTGGAGCGAACACCATGATTTCCTCCAGCCGCTACGCCCTAGGTAAAGAAAGGCAGGCAGTCAGACGGAGTGTGGAGGAAGGCTAGGATTTGGAGGGGTCCGGTGCAGGTGCGCGCGCCGGGCGCCGGCCGGCTGCAAGCCGGGGAAGTCAGCACCTCGGACAGCTCCCTGCCGCGCGATCCCGGGGCTGCAGCTCCAGCAGCTGCAGCGTGCTCAGTCTCCACAATGCACTGCTCCGCAGGCAGCCACCGCAGCGGCAGGAGGAGGAGACGGAATCCCTGCTCAATTCATCCCTCATTCCTATGCCAACCCGGAGTACATAGCTGCTTACAGAGCAAAGCACTTCTACCGCTTCTGCGGGAGAAAAAAGGATGGAAGAGGAAGAGAGAAAAAGGTAATTGCCCGACTTCCCGGCAGGCGGACAGCTAATTGCTTCTAATTACCTGCTGTCGCTAGCCCCTGTGGATACTGGACTGACATTTAGAATGGGTTTGTCTCTCTCCTATTTTTTTTTTAATGCAAAAAGCTTTACTCTCGAGGGTGAGTACTCTGAGTTGGGCTGCCTCTGAACAAAGGGGTGGGACCTCCAACTTAATCAGTCCTTGGGGCTCCTCCCTCATCCCAGAGTCCCTGCTTAGTGTTAATGTCAGAAAGACAGCAGGAGGGAAGGACCTGGTGACTGCGGAGGCTTGAGGAGGGCGCCGCTATCAGGCCCCGCTTCCAGGCAGCCAATACAGCTCTAGAAGCCCCTAAGCTTGGATGCCCTCAAGGTCATCACTTTAGAGAAAGCAGGGCCCGACAGCGGAAAGGAAAGAGACCTTGGCGAGGCTGGTCTCCTCCACTGACAAACTCACACTTCCTATGAAAGAATGAGCCAAGAGTCCTTTGAAGTGTGAAAACAGGCCTGAAATCCATCAAGAAATATTACTGCTTCCCCAGCCTTTACCTAACTAAAAACTGTGTCCACCATGTATACATTCAGGTCTACTCTAAGATACTGGGACATGCCCCACACTCACTTCATGCTTCTAATCTATTGCTCATTTTAAAGCACTATCCAGTTCCCCGAGGAATTCTAGTGTGGTATAGACAGCCCCCACTGGCTGTGAACCAGCTTGAAACAAGTCCATCTAGGTTACAACCACAGAGCTAAAGTGACACAGGACCCTCCAGCCTCAAAGCAAATGTCCGTTGCTTTGGATTTAATCCTCAATTTTTTGCATTTGAGTGGAGTTCTTCAAGAACAAAGTATGATCAGGGCCATCTCCAGTGTTTTATGGGGTTTATTCACTTGCACATCTCCCTGGAAAGTATAGCTGTTCTGAAAAAAAAAACAACAACACTATTTCTTAGTAATTTGGCTGGAGGCCATAAATTCTACATTCTTTTAAAAATATAAAGCATTCAAACAGTCTATTGGCACTGACTTTGTTCAAAATAATCTGATGAATTGAGAATGCAGATAGCTTTACAGCTCTTGAACTATGGTTTGCATGAAGACGTATGGACAGCCTCAACATAACACAATCAGTACTGTTCTTAGCACCTGGCTCAACACAGGCTTGAACAGATGGAACCTTCTTCAGCAGCAAGAAGATGCAAGTCAGCTGATGGGCAGGTTGAAGAGTGGGTATAACACTATGCAGTCCTCTCATTTCCCCAAGTTACACCAAAGCCAGGGACCAATGATGCTTCACTCTGTCTTATTTGCTTTATTACCATAAGTATGAAAGACTAGTTGAAATAATCTCTGATTGAATGACAGACTTCTTTGTTTTCATACACTCAATAAGGCTCTCCTTAACAATGTTTATTTTGTAATGGGCTTTATTATCCTAATGCATAAATAATCACTCATGATTAACTTCAAGAAAAAGCAATAGAGTGTAGTGGAAAAGGAGACTTGGAAACTAATCAGACTCATGTATAACTTCTTAACTACGTACTAGTTATGTGATATTGGATAAATTATTTCACTGTTCCATCTAATATAGGGATTAATGTATCTCCAAGATTTGTTGTTGGGATTAAATGTGATTGTGGATTAATTAAGAGCAAGCACAACCTCAATTAAACTCAGTCCAGGAAATTACTGGCACCCTGGGAATAAATGAAACCCTATAGGGGTATGTTAAATCAGTATTTCTCAAACATTAATGTACATGTGAATCCCATGAAAATCTTGTTAAAATGCAGATTGTAGTTCAGTAGAGCAGAGTAGGGCCTGAGATTCTGCATTTCTAACCTGCTCCCAGGTGATGTCCATGCTACAGATGCTGCTGGTCCACAGACTATATTTGAGTAGCAATGTATTAGATTTACCAACATTTAGAAATAAAATATTAACTTCTTTTCACAACCTCAGAGCACATATTTCTAACTTTTATGTAAGGAAGGAACCCAGGACTTCCATAGACTCCCAAGCTAGACTGTAGTAGAAAGAAAAAAAATGCCTAAAAATGGTCCCTTTGACTCACCTGCTGTGGCAATAGGAGGTAGTGTGATCCAATAAAAACAAATTCAACAGGTCAGGTCAAGACAGAAGAGAAAACTCTGTTAGGCCCATCCTCACCTCTTCTCCAACATTCTTCCATCCATTATCACTTCCTCCCATCATCTCTTCAATTTCTCTACCCAACACACCACAGCTACCCAGACAAAGGATAATATACTATACTTCCTATTCAGTTTTTGCTTATTTATATTTAGTAAGAGCAATTAATTTTATCCCAAATAACACCAAGAAACTTTAATGATTTTTTATTTGCAGTTATTTCATAATTCAGTTGTATATTCAACAATGTTGTCTCCAAGTCTTACTACTATTGGAGTTATTATTCTGTTGGTTTAGTTTAAATGCCCTAGCAATGCTATAAGATTTTTATATCTTAATGTAAATGTTCAAATGTTAATGTTCAATTTACATTAAGATATAAGGAATATTGAAAAACTAATAAGAAAGATAAGAAAGAAAATGCCAAAATACTAATCTTTGTGCTATCTAATTTGTAAAGATATAAAGAGAGTAAAAAATGCATATAGAGAAGGAAATGAAATTTTTTAAAAAATCAAGATAGATGATGGGGTAAATAAAAAAGGAAAATAAAAGTAATGACTTTGCTGCATTAAGAAAAGCAATGGGAAATATTAAAGAATTTTTGCAGACTTAAAGATTAGGGGACAATGTCTTTTGTAGGTTTGCATTTTATGAAACAGTTTATGAGTCTTGCAAGATGTTCTAAAATGGACTATGAAAGAACCATATTTTCTGAAAGGGAACATCAGCAAAACTTCCTTATTGAAAAACATACAGACCTGGCTGGTGTGGCTCAGTGGGCTGAGCACCGGCCTGTGAACCAAAGGGTCACCACTTGGATTCCCAGCCAGGGCACATGCCTGGGTTACCGGCCAGGCCCCCAACAGGGGGCATGTGAGAGGCAACTACACATTGATGTTTCTCTCTCTCTTTCTCCCTTCCCCTCTCTCTAAAAATAAATAAATAAAATCTTAAAAAAAGAAAAAATACATAAGAACAGTTCTCCCAAATCATCAAATAAATTGTTGATTCTACTAGATGGTAGTAGAGAGAGAATCAGTTAAGGACAAAATTCAGTTTAAAACCTATCTGGTTAGTATTTAAGAATCATAAAGCACTCAACTCAACATTCAACTTATCTTCAAAAGTGTGAGTAGATGGTATAAAACTTTAGTCAATAAATTCTGAATGCATAAAAGTATCTGTTTATATATGTATAGGTTTTTCACAAAGTCATTTTAGAAGATAAAATCAATGAGAAAAAATATACTGGAAAGAGGAGAAGTAAAGACAGAAGTAAAAAGAGAAAGGAAAAGGATGTGGGAAGGGGAAAGAAAAGAGGCGGGGAATAGAAAAAGCTGTCTGGGATGAGAATATATAAAGGAAGGAAGATACAAAACACAAAAGTCACATTCTGAGAGACTCAAAACTATTTTTAAAACAAAAGAAAGAAAATAAGAATGACACACTTTTTTAAAAAGTATATTGACAAATAGGAAAGCCTTAATACAGTCCAAACTGAGAAATTAGGTATTCTCATTTTCTGCTCACTTGAGCTGTATATTTGAGAATAAATTTAATCATCACTTTTAGAAATAATTACTAATTTTTAATTTAAATTTTATTGTATATTTTTCCATTACCATTTAGTCCCTTTATAACCCCTGACCCAGCAATCACCCACTGTTCATGAGTCCTTCTTCCTTTTTGCTCAACCCCTCCATCCCCTGACCTCCTCTCCCTCCTAGCAGCTGTCATCCTGCTCTCCATCTGAGTTTGTCCCCATTTTCCTTGTTAGTTCAGTTTATTAGATTCCACATATGAGCGAAATCATGTGGTATTTGTCTTCCTCTGACTGGCTTATTTCACTTAGCATAATGTTCTCCAGATCCATCCACATGCTCACAAAAGGTAAAATTTTCTTCTTTTATATGGCAGAGTAGTATTCCATTGTGTAAATGTCCCATAGTTGTTGTATCCACTCATCTACTGATGGGCACTTGGGCTTTTTGCATATTTTGGTGATTGTAGATAATGCTCCAATGAACATAGGAATGCTTACATTCTTTTGAATTAGTATTTGGATCCTTCAGATATATTCCCAGAAGTGGGATAGGTGGGTCAAAAAGCAGACCCATTTTTAATTTTTCTTAGGTATCTCCATACTGCTTTCCATAGCGGCTGCACCAATGTGCATTCCCACCAACAGTGTAAACGGGTTCTCCTTTCTCCACATCCTCACCAGCACTTGTTGTTTGTTGATTTATTTATGATAGCCATTCTGACAGGTGTGAGATGGTATCTCATTGTGCTTTTAATTTGCATTTCTCTGATGATTAGTGATGTTGAGAGTCTTTTCATATCTTTATTGGTCATCTGTATGTCCTCTTTGCATAAGTGTCTATTCAGGTCCTTTGTCCATTTTTAATTGGGTTGTTGTTGTGTGTGTGTGTGTATTGAGTTTTGTAAGTTCTTTATAAATTTTGGATATTAATACCTGTCAGATGTATTGGTGAAATGTTCTCCTATTCTGTGGGTTGTCTTTTTATTTTTGGTGATGATTTCCTTTGTTGCTCAAAGAGTTTTTAGTTTGATTTAGTCCCATTTGTTTAGTTTTTTCTTTTGTTTCTCTTGCCTGGGGAGATATATCTGATAAAATAGTGCTACAAGCAATTTCCAAGATTTCCTGCCTATGTTTTCTACTACCATTTTTATGGTTTCAGGTTTCACATTCAAGTCTGATCCATTTTGAATTTATTC